ACACACACACACACACAGACACACACACACACACACACACACACACACAGCATGCTTCTCCAGGTGGGCTGGCTAAAACACCTATGTTGCAAAAGTGTGTGGCAGAGCTAGCATGCACGTTGTAAGACATGAAAACCTGATTTTTCTTGAGGCGATTGTGAACGGGATTGCTTTCTAACTTGTTTCAGCAAGTTTGTTATTGGCACCTACAAAAACTACTGAGTTTTGCTACCTGCTACCTCGCTCCAAGTGTGTATCAGGTCGAAAAGTCTTCTAAGGGGTCGTTAGGGTGCTTTAGACAGAGCATTGTGTCATGTACAAATCTGGATAGTTCTAAGATTAAATAAGACAAATAGTATTTTAATGCCTTGCTATTTCTGGTGGCTTCAGGTTTCCGACAGCCTAATACGGTTAGGATGAGACTTGGCCACAACTGGCATCTCAGAGAGTCACTGTGTTGGTGGGCTCACCTTCTTGACAGACCTACTCTGGCTGTCCTTATTTTTACCTGGCTCCGTGACGGGTAAAGGCAGAGCATTCATCTACCTTTTTCATAACCTTCTCTCTAGGGTCTCTCTGAAGGAATCTTTAAGGCCAACCTGTTTGTTGTGTGAAGTTTAGATAAAAACAGATTTTGGAGTTTTTTTAATCCATCATTTAATTCCTCCCCTCCCCCCATCGTAATACGTGGAGAGCAAAAAAATGCAGTGTCGGCGGAAGGCGCGTTCCCTCCAGAAGGGCGCGTGACGTGCCTGTGACATGCCACGGCCACGCGGGCTGCTGTCGGGCCCCTTGCCAGGTATCAGTAGAGCTCATCAAAAAGGCAATGCAAGGTTGGTGACAGTGGTGACGTTTGATCAAGACACAGGTACTCACGAGCTGCTTTGTTGAATGGTAGCTCCTTAAATGCAACGTATTTTTAATCTTTAAGTGAACTAAACATAAGCCAAGCTTTTCCCCAGAGGCTGAGCAGCCAGGACCCGCCCACCTCTCTAAACCAGTGCCTTCCTCCACCCCAGACCTGAGGTCCAAAGGAAGCCTCTCTTTGTACCTCCCTCCGGGCAGTAGCTGAGACTGTCCAAGCTGCCTAGAATGTAACTTTGGCTTAAAAGAACCAGCGCTAATGGAAGAACAGAAGCAGCTTAACCTACCTCCCGGGAGGAGAGGCAGACCGGGGGCTTCTGTGGGCTCTGCGCCCTGTCCGTCTTGGAGGTCTGAACCGTGGACAGTGTCACTGTACTCATAAAACAGCACCATAGGCACGGCCAGGCACAGCGCATGCGTGGACTTGGCAAGAATTAAGGTTTTGTTCTTTATAAGGTTGTGTTATTTTGAGGTTTTGGAATGGAGTAGTTAAGTGTCCCTTCTGTAGCTGTCGGTTTGTCTGCCTCCCAGACAACTCCTGTCTGCTGTGTCATTTAGCTTTGCCTGAATAAAAGCCTCCCTTGCTCGTATGACATTCAGGCACTCAGCAATACGTTCTTCATGCTTCTAGAACAACTTTGGTTGCTGTTTCTTCGTTTCTCTACATGTCTTTCCTTCCTTTTTCAGTGTGTTTAGGAATGAAGTGTCACGTTTTAATTATGGCTATCTTTTCAAGAAAAAAATGACTTGATGTTTCTGTGAATTTTATTTAAGATAAGGCATTGTCAAATTACAGGGCTTTATTGTTGTTGTTTGTTGAGACATTCTGTGTTCTATAACCCAGTGTCAATACTGGTCATTCTGCAATTCTGCAACTTACTTTATTGAATAAATGGAAATAGCACATTAGAATTAGCATTAGTGATAGTTAAATGATGGTTAAACTGGACATGTATATAAAAAATAAAGATGAACTTTCGGAACATGAACCCCATGGGCTTCCTGCTCAATTATTTCTGATTGGTACAAAAGGCACATGATGCCCGTTAGAAGCCAAGCTTTCTCTGTATATTTTTGCAGGTAGTTGGTCCATGGGTTGATCATAGGTGGTTTTCAGATTTTGTGTGCATGTGCTGGTCCTGGGGCTTGAACTTGGGGCTCGGACACTATCCCTGAGCTTTTCTGCTCAAGGCTAGCACTTTATAACTTGAGCCACAGCTCTACTTCTAGCTTTTTAGTGATTAATTGGAGATAAGAGTCTCAGGGACTTCCCTGCCATAGTTGGCTTTGAACCGTGATCCTGAGTAGCTAGGATTAACAGATATGAGCCATCGGCACCCAGCTGCTTTTTAGATTTTTTTTTTTTTACAGGACAAGGTGAAGTAGTTATTTATAGCCTGGCATCTGGGCAGAAAAGATGATGTAGAATCTCATGGCAGCAAATTTTCTCACTGCTGGAGAAGACGGCTGCTGACTGCAGAATGAAGCTTGAGAAATGGAGTTGTGTGGGTCTGAGTATCTGTAAAGCAGAGCAGCGACTCAGCCAGCCGAGCTTGCCCTGCTTGCCAGCTGCTGCCCCCAGGAAAGTGTGCCTACTGGCCCCACGCTGTGCCACAAGGACAGCAAATCTGTCACGTTGGTCCCGACCCAGCGCCCTCACACGCTGCACTCGGGTACTTACACCAGGCAAGGGCTTGGTGTCTCTGCACAGCATGCCTGTGTCGTGGCATGTGGGACGCGTGGTCGGGCTGTGACTTTGTCATGGGCTCCTCAGCCGGAGCAGGCCCCGTCTGGTTTTCTGCTCGGCCTGGGAACAGCCCCACTCTCTGCTCTTCCCCTGCCACCCCTTCCCTTCACCAATTGCAGCTTTTACCACGGCCTGAACTTCCTTCCTGGGAGCTGAGCCCCAGGAAGAGGTTCCTGTCCCCGCCTCCTTAGCTCTCCAGTTCCGCCTCTGTCCCCTTCCGGAACACTGCTACCTTTTCCTTTCCTGGTAACAGTCGGGGAGAAGCTTTCTAGGAGTTTCTCGTTAAGTTGTGTGGGCATTTTTTAAAAAAAGGCTTTCTCTGTCACTTTGCTCATTCTATTCCCTTTTCTCTAACAACTAACTTTTACTGAACCCTTAACATTCTTTAATAATTTCAGCAAATCGAGGAAGTTTAATGTTACTTGGAAATCAGCAATGTCTGGCTGAGAATAAATCGAATCCATTTGTAGACATTGTTAGGCACTGGCTTTTGGGAAGATAATCCTGTCAATTACCAAAGGAAACACGAAGAATAAAACAGACTGCATAAATACTATTCTTAAAACCATCACCAGCCAGAGACTGCTGAGCCAGCTCAAGCTGTCTGTTATGTCTTCCACACTGTGTATGGCTCCATTTTTCTTCATTAATCTCACAGACAAAGGCAAACACCTTCTGTGTCCCAGGGCTCCCACTTTTCTCTTCCAGAGATGATCCTTCAGTCCAAGAGAGCATCTCCCAGGCTGGGGACGCCATTCAGAGGTAGACTGCGTCCCTAAGCTGTGTGTTTCAATCACGGGTACCACCCAAAGAAAAGAAAACAATAACTTCATGTGTGTCTCTCCTTGTCTTTTATTAATTAGAAGTCCTTCAAACAGCAAGCACACGTTTTATTTATGGACATGGTAGAGTTGGAGATTGAGACATGTTCAAGGTTAGAAAGAATTTCTGTTTGTTCTTCCTGCCACACAGTGAAAGCCTGGCTCCTCGACAGGCAATTTGCCTATTGTGGGAGAACCCAGTCCAGCGGGTGCACCTAATGCAGGCGTGTAGTTTTATGTGTGCCTGTTAATTTGAATCTGTGATACTGAGCTGCTCTTTGTCCCTGCTGATGGTTATTATATCTTAATGGGCAAAACACCACTCTAATGATCCTTGTGTGTATAACTGTTGGAGTGCAGAGCAGGCACCAGAGACCACATAAAAATGTTTGCCTCAATTTCCCTGCAAAAAAGAAGCCCAGAAACCAGACTCAACCAAGTAACAGATTTTTAAAGGTAAAGGAACCCAATAAAATTACCAGCTTTTCACAGCGTGTGTCTACTTCCTTTTGACATATTGTGAGGTGAGGTTGAAATATTCTCACTGAACTGACAGTGTGAGCAGGCCAACAAGGAGGGAGGGAGATAAAAGTGAAACCCACCACCATGATTGATTCCGAGGTAGCCGAGACCTGGCTGGCCCTCACCGCCGGCACACGGGCGGCGGCGGGAGGAGGGCCGGGGTAACAAGCCCGCAGGAAGCGAGGACTGCTGCGGATTGCTGCAGCAGGGCCTTGTGGCATGCTATGAAACTGTGCGGAATGGCATTTTTAAATTCATCTTATAAGATAGAAAGTGAACAAATGCGTGTGTGTGTGTGTGTGTGTGTTGTTATTGGTGGTGGTAGTGGCATTCATTTATTTGTTCTTTTTTTTTTCTTTGTACTAGAAATTGAGCCCAGGGTTATGTGTATACTACCACTTGAGCCACAGTGCCATTTCTGGTTTTCTGGTTGTTTATTGGAGATAAGAGTCTCATGGAGTTTCCTGACCTGGCTGGCCTCGAACCGGCATCCTCAGATCTCAGCTCCTGAGTAGCTAGGATGACAGGCGTGAGCCACTGGCGCCTGGTAGAGCATGTGTTTTTATACTACAAAGTGGAACTGCCTGATCCTAAATGACTCCCAAAAATAGTATTTTAATCAGAGATTGATTTCTTTACACTTTGTGATCATTAATTACCTAACGAAATGGGTTTATGTAGGTAGTGCTCTGTAGTTTTCATGTAAGTGCTTTCAAGAATGATTTAACCAGAGACCATCCACAGATTCTCTAATACATTGTTCCAGTATTTTAATCCAGAATTGTCAGGAATGAGTTCTGGGCCTCAGTGTGAACTGTATTGGATGGATAGGCAGTAGCATTATGTCCATGTAAGTTAACTCTCCTAGAAACCCTAGGACTTGAGGCTTTGGGGGTTTTCCTTCCTTGGACATTCTAGATAGAAATAATGTACATAAGTGCCTGGACTCAAGTGATCTCTTGATACTGTTTCCTCCATTTTTGAATTTTTAAAATTTTATTGTTAAGACTCATATGTAGGTTTTAAAGTGGAAACTTTACATTAATCCTAAATTTCTCTACATTTCCCCGACTAGTCCCTCTATTTGCTTCATTCCTCCCCAGGGGCTCTGTTATCACAATATAATATTTTCATCTGTCCATATCCTGCCCCTCCTTCTGTGTCTCTGCATTCTCTTTTTCAAGACACCATGTACTTGTCAAAAAACTGTCCCTCACATCTAGCAGAACTCATTCCCTGGGAATCACGCAGCACACACCAATACCCACAGGTATTTGTGCTATACTTAGGACTTCATATGATTCTTAACTACAGAAGGAGAAATACAGTTCAAAAGCAACCTAGTCCATCCCTACCAGGTCAGAAGAACCTGGCAAAAAGCAGCCTAACAGGGTTGGACAGAATAGTGGTACAAGCAACGCTTGAAGACATTATGAGTATCACCAGCGGGTTTAATAAAATTAATTAGCCCGCCATGGAGAAAATTTACTAGTGGGCTGGTTAATTTCACAATGTAAAGGCAGGGAAGGGAGGTGGGTTAAAGAACAAACCTTATTAATTTTGAATAATTATTTAAAGATGTGTGTCCTGCTAATTTCAAACACTTTTAAAACCATTAAGGTTTTAAAATTTCAATGTTTGTATCTCAGAATTTATGGGAAGGGGCTTCTCAAGATGAAATGATAAAAATATGAGTTAACAGAGAAATGGCTCATTCAAGAAACAGAGCAACAAAGAACCCTGGTACGATCTCGAGGATAAGAACTTGGCTTAAGACTGACTCACGGGAGGTTTCTGTAATCTTAATTTGCTATTGGTGCAATTATTACTCTTTCTTGTCTTTTTAACCCAAACAAGATGTTTGCGGTGGCCATAGAAAGGTCCCTGAAATCACATGCCTGAATTCACTTAATTTGCCAACATTTTCTTTTTTCTCTTTCCCTTTCTGGTAATGGGCACAAGTCAGTTCTGGTGCATTAAGTGCTAAATCTCTTCAATTACCAGCCGGGAAGAAAGATTTAAAATTGTGCTTCAGACCTACAAACTGATTGACTTTTAAAGCACAAACACTTCTCCTGTGGAGCCTAAATTAAACTGCAGAAAGGACATGGGGCCTGAGGAATTAAACCAGGCAGGGCATGGTGCAAGGCCATCATAGGAGCGAGCCCCCTGGTGTGCAGGAAAGGCCGGGCTGCAGAAGCAGCCTGGAGAGCAGGAGCAAGGTGCCTGACCCTCCCCGGCCCCGAGGCCTGACTGGGGCCTTGAGGCCTGACGGGGGCCCGGAGGCCCGACCGGGGCCCTGAGGCCTGACCGGGGCCCTGAGGCCTGACTGGGGCCCCGAGGCCCGACCGGGGGGCCCCGAGGCCTGACCGGGGGCCCTGAGGCCTGACCGGGGCCTCTGCCCTGGGACCGCCTCAGAGCCCTACCCTGGCCTTTTCTCTTCCGCAGCCATCTTTACCGTGGATGAGTCCGTGGTTGACTTGGAGACCCTGGCGGCCTTATACGAAAATGTGAGTGTCAAACGCATACAGAGCCGGAGTGTCCATCGTTTCCTTTTTCTCTAAGAATCTCCAGACCACTCGTGCTCTTTGCTAGACAGGGTATTGACAGAGCGTGGAACAGATTAAGGCGTGGCGGTGCCAGCGTGCACAGGAGCAAGCCCGGCACTGAGGGAGCTGGGGGCGTAGCGCTCGTCATGAGCCGCAGGAGCCTGGCCCTGAGGGAGCTGGGGGCGTAGCGCTTGTCATGAGCCGCAGGAGCCTGGCCCTGCTGCCCGCGGGCATGAAGATGAGCTTCCTGCTGAATCGTGGCCTGTGCCCGTGACACAGGAACGCTGATGCCAGCCCGGACGGTTACCGTTAGGCCCAGTGAGTGGCTGGCACTTGAGATGGGAGCCAGCCTGGGATTGTGTGGGGGAGGTGTGCGGTCCAGCTCTACTAGAGAACTGTCTGACCAGGGACCCCGGCGGGGCCGTTACCAAGCCGCTCAATCCGGTTCCATCATTGGTACCAGAGCTCGGATAGTGGGACACCACGTGGTCTTTTGTGCCAAAAAGAGAACTGCATATGTTTAACCACCATGAACTTTTTCTCCCAAACAGCGAGCCCAAGAGGATGAATTGGTTAAAATAAGGAAGTACTATGAGACGTCCACAGACGAGAACCTGAAGCTGCTGGACAAGCCTGAGCAGTAAGGACCCTCGAACTCTGTCCTCCTCGGACGGAAGGGAGCCGCAGCCTCTGTGTTGCTGCCTCTCAGTTCCGACTGTCCCAAGTCCAACTGTGCTCTGAGCTCAGTTACAGCACCGTCATTCCCGTGACCTTTAAAAGCAGACTTGAGATCTGTGCTGCTGGGCAGTGTGTCCCCTCCCCCACCCCCTTCCATGTCCTACCAATTCCTTAATTCCTTCTAGACTAAACATCCCAACCAAAAGCGTAACCAAGGAAGGAAGAAGGCATTGCTCCATGTTAGGGTTTGCTGATGCAGTTGAAAAGATGATATCAGAGCCACAGAATTCAAATTGATTTTTCAATGTCATAATCAGTACATGTAGCTTGAATATGCCTGCTTTACCCCCAAATTCTCTCCTTGGTCTTCCCAAGTCAGCGGCCACTTCGTTACCTTCCCTCCTAGCCTGCTTCTCCTCTCCATTGACTCTCATTCCGTGTGTGCCTTGTCCTTGCCTGGGCTCCTGGAGTCTCTAAGACACACATGAGTTCCTGGGGCTCTGAGGTGCCAGGACCCCATCCGGTTCTCCAGAGATATGGGTGGGTAGAGAGGTCTGGGTTTCCTGAGATGCTGACACCACACCTTACTGGTAGTTTGGGAACCCGAGATGAATTCCTATCACAAGGAGCTGAATCCAGCACCTCCAAAACCCAAGCCTAGGAACACTGGGAGTCAGCTCAAATGGGATTCCTTGCCTTCAGTCCACTGTTGTTCATCAGCATCCTACCCAGCATCCACCAGCTTATCCCAAGTTGCGATTGCTAATGTCACAACCTAATTCCTAAGGGCTGAGGATGAGCCACGAACACTGAGACACTGGCACACATAAGATCCTGGGAAGTGTTTGGGGCCCTGGGGTTAGGCAGCGAAACAGAATGGGACTGAAATGCTTTTCCTGTGAAGGATGAGCTAGTATTTAATCTGTGTGGGTCAAAAGATCTGTCACAGCTACTCAAGTCAGCCTCCGAAGGGCAAACGCAGCAAAGAAACACGGCTGTTCTTGGAATGGCATTTTATTTAGGAATGCTGACATTTGAATTCATATCACTTTTACGTGTCAGCAGTGTTGACCTTCGATTGGTTCTTTTTCAACCATTTAAAAATATGAAAACCAAGATTCTTAAGTTTCCTAAGTCAGGACATAAGCTGCAGGCTGAATTAGACCTACAGAGTTGATTTGCCAGCCCCTCACCCACTTGGCCGAATGGACGAGCAGTCAGGAGAGATGCTGTTTCTGCCACCAGAAGCAATCCTCCTTCTAGCGCTGCTTCTCAAGACTAATGGCCAGGACATAAAGTAACGGTGGCAGCTGACCATCAGACAGCCCATTGTTCTTGGGTTTTGTGCTGATTGTCTAGCTGGAGGAGCACTTCATAATCATTGCAAGGGCTCTGTGATCACTCACAGCTGTGTCCTATGGCAGAGAGGCCTGCCATGCTGTGCCGCAGAGGCGACGGGCCGCCGGATGGAGAGAGAGGTGTGGAAGGTAGATAGAGGTCCAGGGCCCCGGGTTAGCGCCACCTTCGCTCTCCACCCCCAGCACAGAACAGCATTTGTCTGCTTTATGCCAAAATCTGATTCTCTGGCACATCATCCGCCACTAACTCCCAGTGATTGACTGTAAAGATGTTTTACATACTGGAAAGCATGACTCATTTATGGTTTAGCACTGCAGTCCCCAGCGGCCGGTGGCGCCCAGTCCCATAAATCACGACACGGAGAGGCCGTCCTCCCCTCTCACCTCATGAGCTCCTTCCACCCCATGCCAGGCTCAGAAAGCCATTTTCCACAGAGGTGTCGTCTTCTGGGGCTAGGCTGTCTGACAGCCACACCCTCGGGGGTAGCCCTCTACCTCCCGCCCAGAGAGGATTTGGTGGAGCCGATGCTCACCTGCCATGGCCTTAAATGGAGACGCCACGTACCTGTTGGCCTGTTCTAATGGCAGACGCACAGCTAACTTAGACCTCACGTACCTGGATTCTCCTTTCTGACTACGTGAGACTGCGTTTTATCACTAGCTGTTTTACCACTAGTGGTGTGAACACAAGCCTCCAGAGGCTTAGAGAGTGGTGGTGCCAGAGGGGGTCTCAAGCAAGCACTGGGCCACATGGCGTCAATCTCGCCCGTCGGCTAGGTTGGTTCCGCAGCACAGCACTTCGCTCCTGTATATGTGTCAGCTGAAGTTACGCTTCTTCCTGGGCCCCATGCCTGCATTAGATGCAGAGGGAACGCTCCCTCATGTGGGGCTGCCTCCATGTTGTGTAATCATAGAACCTGGATATAAAGTCAGACAATCACAGGAAATCAGGTAATGGATACTTACAAGCACCAAGGCCCAGTGTTCCACATCCTATGCTTGGGAACACATAAAAGGCTTACTGTCCACGCACATATCTGTAGAGTATAAAACAGTGGTGGAACCAGGTATCAGACACTTGTGCTTCCAAGCCTTTAACCTATTCTTCTGATAAATAAAATAGATAAATGGGAAAGAAGCCTTTCCTTGAGTATTTGCCTGGTTATTTTTGAATTGAAAGTAGTTTAAAGATATTTTTTTCTAGCTGGATGCTGATGGCTCACGCCTGTAATCCTAACTACTCAGGAGGCTGAGATCTGAGGATTGCAGTTCAAAGCCAGCCTGGGCAGAAAAGTCTGTGAGACTCGTATCTCCAGTAAACCATCAGAAAGCTAGAAGTAATGCTGTGGCTCAAATGGTAGAGCACTCGCCTTGAGCTGAAGAGCTGAACAGCGTCCAGGCCCAGAGTTCAAGCCCCACAACTGACAAAATATATATTTTTTTCCAACTTTTTTCCAATATTTTTCATTTTCACATTCTACCAAATATATCTAAGCTCAAAACCCAGAGGTCAACCAGGACTCTTCTCAGTCTTCATGGGATCAGTCGATTGCTTCATGTCTTCTTTCCATCCCCCGCCCCACCCACTCACGGCCACAGCTCCTTCCCTCTTAGAAGATTACAATGGTGGTTCAGTAATTTCCCCAGCCTCAAATCCACTGTCATTTCCAGCTAAGCACTACTGTGATGACTGCATGAGACAAAAAGCTGAAAGATCATTTCCCTGTTTATGACCTGTCATTCATTAGGAAAAAGTTTAAACTCCATTCCATAGCTTGGCCTGCATATCCAGAAAGTCTCAAAACTAAATAAACTAACTAAAAAAGAGCTACAGCTTTGCTCCCCTATAAAGTGTTCTTGGTGGGAGATTGCAAAATGTCAAGGTAATGGTTGTTATAAGTTGACTAAGACTTCCAGAAATATCAGCCATCATTTCAAAATGAAATTGATGACCATGGGTTGGTTCTCTCCCTTCCTAAGCTCATAGCCAGCTGTTTCCACGCAGTGTAGTTTATATCCTTTTCTCTGGTAGTTGGCCTGGACAGTGTGTAGCTCTTCCAGTTTAATTTCGCACAGGATGAAGTGGCCAACTGCTCAGACAGTCAGCTACTGTGTGCAGGTCGGCACCCAACTCAGGCCAGGTCCTGAAGAAGCTTTGACTGTCTCCTTGCTTTGCTCCACATACTGAGCTATGAACTACCTATGTGAGTACGTTGACATGGAGAATTCGGTTGTTACAGACTTTTATATAAGTGGGCAAAAACAGAAGCCATCTTACCACAGTAAGAATTTTGTTTTAGTCAGTTGACTGGATATTCACATGAAGAACCTACTTTGCTTGCCCATGTGGATGTTCTTTTAGAAAATGCTTCAGTACAAGAGAACTCATTCTGACATTTTTCTCATAAACTAAAAGACTTTCCATTTCAAGTTCACCCCTGCTTGAGTAGAGAGCCACAGAGAACTTCTTTAGTACATTTGCATAGCCTTTGTGTTCCTAAGTGTGTACACCATACACTTGTTCATCGCCACAGAAACCCTCAGCACAGTGGCCCTGTTGGGAACAGTAACTCCTTAGACAGCCTGTTTGGTACCTTTCATAACTACAAGCTGAGATTTTCAAACAAGCACTGCTCTCATGGAAGATCTTTTCTACTAACCAGAATGATTTTTTTTCAGTGTTTCTTTTTTCTGTTGACAGGTTTTTACATGAGTTAGCTCAGATCCCTAATTTTGCCGAACGTGCCCAGTGCATAATCTTCAGATCTGTGTTCTCTGAGAGCATCAACTCTTTACACCGGAAGATTGAGATTGTCACGCGAGCCTCTGAGGTATGTTTGCTGTGAAGTTCAAAGCTGGCCTGACTTCCATGGGGTCCAGTAAAGGAGGGAGTGGAGAGTCAGAGAAAGCAACCATAGAGCCTTGTCCACACCTTGTGTGCTTTCTCCGAAGGTGAGTGTGTGGCTGGCCTGCCCAAGAGAGGAAGGAAGGAAGAGGGCATGCAGATTCAGGCAGCCAGGAGTTCACAGGCTTACGGAGCAGTCCAGACGGTGTGCTCTGTTCCCTTTCTACCTCTTCAACTTGCATAAGGGAATTTTGCTTGAAACCTTCATACCTGATCACCTCAAACCTGTCCATATCCCAAATTAGAAGGATTCTAGAGATTTGACAGGTGAAATAACTGACTGGATCATGAATGACTGGCAGATAAGTCTGTTGGCTTCACTGTACTAGTGTGCATTAGACAATTAAACTCTAGTCTTTGGCTTTCTCACACGGTGATCCATGCTCTGGGGGACATGAGGCGCCTCGACATCGTACTAGAGTACTTCATGGCTTACCTAGAGGTTTGCATAAAAGATGCTAATAAAAAAAAGCATAACTATTACCCGAGTACCCTGAGGGGGAAGAGCAGAATCTGCCTAGAGAATTTTGCTCACTTTCTTTCCCCTAAAATAAAAGACAAACAAGTAAGACTATAAAGGGGAAAAATGCTTCCATTTGAAAATTTGTACCTGAAGCAAAAATAAAAGAGAGGAAAAATAAATGAGATAAGGGAGCTGAAGAAAATCCTAAGTGGCTTGGAATGGTAGAAGTTTATATAAACAATAAATGTGCATTTAAAAGCACTGTAAACATAACCTATGGCCTCAAAATGCATGATTGTGAGGCTGCACTCGCATTTCCTGTGTCTACTCTGTGTTTGACTGTGCTGTGTGCACAGGCACATAGTCCCCAACAGATCCTGAAAAGACATTCTATATCATTCTACTTTGAGGTCACCAAAAATAAAGCCTAATTCTATTAACTTCCTTGAATCAGTCTGAAAGTACTTTAAGAATGAAAAATAAAATTAAGTCAAGTGGAGCTATCAATATGAAGATTTCATCCTCGATACTAGGGCGTGAATTGTTTATAGTTTTTGAGTGTGTAGAAGATATGGCTTTCGTTCTTTTCATTAAGAACAGACACCAGTGGCTTCCTAACGTGATTTTCACCTCGTTCGCTGTTAATACTCTTGGTAACAAGCCATCAGGCGGTTGGTTGGTCCAAATACTCCTGGAGCCCAGTGACTGCTGTGTGGCTGGAGTTGGGACTGTCCTCACCCGCGCTGTCCTCACAGGGCCTGTTGAGCATGAAGAGTGTGAAGGACATCCTGGCTCTCATCCTGGCCTTTGGAAATTACATGAATGGAGGGAACAGGACCCGAGGACAAGCAGATGGCTACAGCCTAGAAATTCTGCCCAAACTCAAGGATGTCAAGAGTCGGGTATTTAGTTCTGACGAGTTTTTATGATTTCAATTTAAAGCCTGAATGCCTTTGTTTATAGAAATAACAAAAAGTGCTCCCGAGTGTTATATTTCTTGCTCTTTTTTCCCCTAACAGTAATCAAGTATTTGAGAACATGAATTGTCTTCTCTACTTTCTTTGGATTTTGGAGTAAAAATAGGTTTTTCATCTTAGATCTTATTTTTAGTGACACAATTCCTTTTTTTGTTTTTGGTGTAGCATACGTGAGTAATCCAAGCCGCTACTGCAATGGAAGATAAAACATTAAAATATTAATTGTGGTGCAAAGGCTGGAGTGTGTTTGAATTTAGTTCTGGCTACTTGTAATTTACTCCCTGTATAGCACAGCACTGTGGAATCACCAATTTAGCGGAGTGTTTGAATTCTTTCCCTCACAACAATTGGTCTGGAGTCTCTGGTCAGCTCTCTGAGCCTGATTATCACTAGGCTCCACACCCCTGCAGGGCTACCTCTTTAGAAACAACCAGCCCATATCAAGGGGTCCCATGGGGGGCAGAGAGGGTGGAGGGAGGGGAAATGCTCCGGCCAGTTAGAATTAGACCCCTGTGAACCGGACACAAAGGCTACCTTGTGGGAGGGCCTCCCTCTGGCCTCCTGGGGTCATAAAGTGGCGTGGTTCCTTTTAAGTTGGCTCTGATAGTTTTTCACGCCATTAAGAAAACACATTTTTTTGAAAGGTGGGAAGGGAGGGAGGGCTTTCTGTTCCCTTTAATACCCCTGTCTCCTGTCTTGGCTTTATGCCAGAAAATATGAGACACCAATTTTCTGTTTACTTGTTTGTTTTAGGCATGGTCTCGGAGGTCTTGTAAGCTATCTATTTTCCCCACAAACAACAGGGTAGAGTCATTTCTTTGTATAGCTGACTTTTTTTTTTAATGGAGGAAAATCTTGTTTGTTTTGAACAGAATTAGGATCAAATCTCACAAAGTATCAGTATCATAAACTTGAGATATCTGCTCTCAACTGTAGAACCAGGGCAGAGACTCATGTGAACAGCTTGTCATTTGCTTTCTCTTTTAAACCTAGGATAATGGAATTAATCTGGTGGATTATGTTGTGAAGTATTACCTGCGTTACTACGATCAGGTAAGAAATATTACCACATAGAAACTCTGCTAATGGGGTGTCAACTCTGACACATGGATGGCATTCAGAAATTGGGTGATGGATAGCTGGACAGATGATTTTTCACACCCAGCTCTGAATGGTCTCCAGACTCCAGGGTTTAAAAAAAAATAGTGAAACCAAGAGAGCAATGTTAACTTTGAGAAAGAGAAGAATTGTTCTTGGCACACGTCTACTGATTCTCAGTGTACAACAAACACAGCTTTGTGGAGTCACCTTAGTTGCGTTGTGGTCACATTGTGAGGTTCTCTGTGAACTCAGGTTCCATTCGGTAACTGCTTATAGTTGAAACTGGATTCTGAGATACAGAATAAAATAGAAGTCAAGACACAGTAATACCCAATGTTGTACCCACAGTGCAGCTGTGAACAAGTTGGAGACACTGAATTTGAACAAGTCCTTCCTCTACTTAGATTATATTTGCAGTTAGAAACAAACATGTCTGTCAGAATCAACCTGATCACAATTTTCTGTTTCTTTCCTTCTTGTTGAACTGAGTAGAAAGAGCCAGTCACTGTGAGACAAAGAGCAACTATTACTGAGGAATAAAACAATTAGTACAAACAGAAAAATCACAAAGGAACATGTGGTCAGGACTCCGGCCTAACTCGCTATGGAAGCAGAGTGTTTCCCAGGCACCAAAGAAAGAAAAAGAGGAAGATCTCATGCAGAGAAGCTAAGCACTGGTCCCCTCTTTCTATGGTCGCTTCCCTCTCTGATAGATGGATCTAACTCCTCTTAATGAACCTGCCTAGCCCTTCCCTCCCTCCCTCCCAACGGCTCTGCTTCTATGCAGGCCATCAGATCTCTTCCCTCTCTGATAGATTTCTCCAACTCCTCAGATCTTGGTCATTTGGCACCTTTGGCTCTGCTCTGACTTCAGCTAAGCTCATTGTCTGTCTGTATTTTTCCTTCCTGCTCGCCCCAGTGCACAGAGGCTTTAAGGAGACTCCTGGAGGATGTCTCCACACCACCCACCCCGTTTACCTGTGCTCTGACAGCATGCTTCTATTCAAAACAAAAACAGTGCCCCATTTGCAATTGAGTTAAGACGATTCCATTCCACTTTAGTCTTTTGCATCCAAGCTGTTATTACTTTTCCTTTACACATATTCTGTGATTTAATCCAAGACATGATGTGCTCCAACCACACCCTTACTAGTACGCTTGCTTACTAATGGATTTTTACTTCTGATGCCTCTCAGAGTCTCACACACACACACGCACACACACACACACACACACACACACACGCTTTCCTTTTCTCTTATTCTCCCAAAAAAGAATCTACTTACTGGTCATCCGCGATGAGCACAGTGGTACCTACCTGTCATCTCAGCTGAGGCAGGGCCACATAGCGAGTTTGCGGCCGGTTTGGGCTGCATAGTGAGACTCTAAATAAAATTCCTCCCTCCCTTCCTTCCTTCTTCCCTCCCTCCCTGTCCTCTCCCCTGTCCTTCCCTCCTGTTTCGTTTTTGCTTTGTTTTTGAGCGAGGGTCTTGCTGTAGCTCGGGCTGGTCTCAGTCACCATCCTCTCTGTTCTCCTGTCTGGGTCTCAGATGCCAGGATGGCAGGCTCCATCACCTGCCTGCTGGCAGAGGACCTTTCTAACTCTATGCTGGCTAAAGCAGATTGACCCGATGGCGTCTGCCTCTACCAAGCAGAATGGCTGAGATTGTCCTACAAAATGGAGAATCCAATGAAATTGACTTCCTGGAGGGAAAGCTTACCAAAAGAATAATCACAGCTGCCGGCGTGGCCTAGTCTAGAAACCACCCTTTTCTTCCGGGAATATAAGTGATGATTTTGTGATTAGTGGTAGGGAACCACAGCTGGGGCAGGGGTGACTCCTGACCCTCAGACCTGGGGTTGGATCTCAATCTAGGTCCAGGTTGAAGAAATCCACTTACAGTCTTGGATTTCAGTCTAGGTCCAGGCTGAAGAAGTCCACATACAGTCTTCCATTCAACTCTGAGTAGCTTTTGCAAAAGCTACTACCGGGCTGATTTGCCCACTGGCATTTTCTGTGATCCTCTGATGAGGAGTTTTAGAAGATGGTCTGCTTCCTGAGTCCTTGCAGCGCAGCTCACCAATTAAGCCTCTTAGATGTTCTGTCTTAGCACTTAGACTAGGGTACCCCTTCCAGTGTTTCTAAAGCAATAAAATAAATGTAGAACAATGGAAAAAAATAAATTTATTATATTCTGATAAGTTGGTGTCCATAGAGAATCTAAGGGGCTTAGAGGAATGGAACGAATCCAGGAACTCCAAAAACCACAAGGAAATGTGATCAGTTAGACGTCTCTGGCTAAAAGTGCAGATTTTCCTAAAGTGGATTACACAGGCTGTTTACAGCAGTGCCCACCGGCCAGCACAGTCTGCTGGCATGCCAGGCTTTATAGATATCCTGAGAACAAGGCAGAGTTCTTGCCCTTTAGATGCTTACTGCCTAGTGGGAAAACGTACAAGCTAGCACCACAGTTTTTAAATGAAGGCAGTAAGTGCTGTGATCAGGATGTCAGAGGCTCTTGGAATACAGGAAAGAAACACCCAAGCCTGGAGATTGAAAGGAAGTCTTTTAAGGAGGTATCAGGGTGAACAAGGAGGTTTAAGGAGTCCCTGGGGAAGGGGTGGCAAAGGCCTAGAGACCAGAGACGGTGGCCTTGTCTCCATCTCAGGAAGGCTAGAGGGAGGTGCTGCAGCGCAGCAGAGGCCAGATCACAGAGCGCCTGGTGAAGCGGTTTGAGAGTGAGGAAGGACGGGCTGTGAAGGGAAGCCGGCAACGTGGTGCCTGTGGAGAGAGGAAGAGCTGAAGGCTGCCTGAGACGTGCGTCTGGGGAGAAGGCAGGGGGCTGGGAAAGACACTTGGTCTCGGTTTTATTGGGCCTGAGATTCTGCCTTCTCAGCTTAGGTCCTCCATGAGATAGCGCAGAGGAACTTGTCAAAACTATACCAACCCTGCCCCTCGTAAATGCCGGCTCAGGTAAATGAAGCAGCGCTTGGAAACGCTTTACAAAGATAGTGGAGGCCACACTTGGGAGTCTCGAGGGAGCGTTACAGTGATGCCAGTGCCATGCATTTTCAGCTGACCATGACCAGGGCGAGAAGATGTACCTCTTCCTTTGTTTGCAATATCCCTTAGGAAGCCGGGACCGAAAAGAGTGTCTTCCCCTTGCCTGAGCCACAAGACCTCCTTCTGGCCTCCCAGGTCAGGTTCGAAGACCTCGTGAAAGATTTAAGAAAGCTGAAGAGGCAACTGGAAGGTAACAGGAATTGTTTGTGCTACTGTGATAACTGCAAAGATGTATTTTTAAGAAATGTGTTGGAGGACCGTTTGTGTCAGGTGCGCGGAACGCAGCAGGCCCGCCCCTCTCTGGTCCGCTGTGTCCCGTGTGGAGCTCGGCCTTGTCCCGAGCATTGGTGGCATGCGTGGGTGTGCTGCTCTCTTTTAGGAAGGCTGGTTGTTTGTTTACTGTCCATGTCTTGTCATACCTACAGTTTCTCACATTTCGTAGGTACGGCTTTTTTAGTAATAGCACCAACTATTTTTTGGAACCATGCTGTTTTCTATTATCCTTATAACCACCAAATAAGGAGAAACTGTCTTAACTCCGTTTACAGATAAAAAAACAAGACTCAGAGAAATTGTATCATGCTGTCAATCAGAGGCATTGGACTAAACTGACAATTAGAGCAAATGCATTGTCTCACTTTGCTGCTTGTACACATGTGAATGCCTGCAACATGCGTGCACACATATATGCTCATGCATATGCACACATACACATATATCACTCATGTACACTAGCATCTTTATATATTTGGCTTCTGTATGGATGCAACCATAGACCCACAGTAAGCATTCCATTATAGTTTCATTTACATTTTGAGTTATTCAAAATGTGATATTGCAAAAGCCCCTTTTTTTAGCCTTTATTGAAAAGTAAAAGTACGTCTTGCTTGAGTAGGAATTTTCCTTTGGCGTCTCGGTCGTCTACTGTTTTTACTGTGGAGACATCTTCTTGTCCAGAAACATAAATACTCTCCTTGGAGCTTGTGTAACTCCGGCTGAAGATCGCTGTAGAGGATTTAGGGAGCGTGTTAATGTGGAAATGGAACCCTGTGTGCCAGAAGGGGTGTTGGAGGGAGCAAAAAATTCAACCAGGAATAGTTTCACACTAAGACATAAAATAAACATTAAAAAATGTTTATTGTGAAAGAGTGGTCAGAACCCACGTTGTAGGCTGAGAGCAGCTTTGAAATGGAGGCAGAGCCGGGCAGGTCCCTTCCCAGTGGCAGGGAAAGCCATTTATTTTTACTTTGGGCATAAAACTTACTTCAATCAGGAGAGTGGTTACAAGTGCATACTTTTACCTGGTAAATTACTTTTAGAGGAGTGTGCGTGTGGATTCCCCCTCCGCCCCCCCCCCCCCGTTGATACAGTTGGGAGAGTGGATTCATCCCACTGGGAGCTTTGTGCAGGACTAGGACCTGGGAGCTTGGAGCCATTGTTTCCGTCTGTCACGGATAATGGACACTTTTTTCTGTATCTACACTGAGGAAGGTGATTCATATCACCATCAAGCAGCGTGAGCCGTCTCTGAGCCCTCTCCGTCCCTCTGCAGGCAGGACCAGGACCCAGGCCTGTCCCCCAGATGGCAGCAAGAGTCAGCAGCAGGCCCGTCCCGAGTGCTCAGCAGCAGGCCCGTCCCGAGTGCTCAGCAGCAGGGCCGTCCCGAGTGCTCAGCAGCAGGGCCGTCCCGAGTGCTCAGCAGCAGGCCCGTCCCGAGTGCTCAGCAGCAGGGCCGTCCCGAGTGCTCAGCCCCAGGCCCGTCCCGAGTGCTCAGCAGCAGGGCCGTCCTGAGTGCTCAGCAGCAGGGCCATCCTGAATGCTCAGCAGCAGGGCCATCCCGAGTGCTCAGCAGCAGGCCCGTCCCGAGTGCTCAGCAGCAGGGCCGTCCTGAGTGCTCAGCAGCAGGGCCGTCCCGAGTGCTCAGCAGCAGGGCCGTCCGAGTGCTCAGCAGCAGGGCCGTCCCGAGTGCTCAGCAGCAGGGCCGTCCTGAGTGCTCAGCAGCAGGGCCGTCCTGAGTGCTCAGCAGCAGGGCCATCCCGAATGCTCAGCAGCAGGGCCATCCCGAGTGCTCAGCAGCAGGCCCGTCCCGAGTGCTCAGCAGCAGGCCCGTCCTGAGTGCTCAGCAGCAGGGCCGTCCCGAGTGCTCAGCAGCAGGCCCGTCCTGAGTGCTCAGCAGCAGGGCCGTCCCGAGTGCTCAGCAGCAGGGCCGTCCTGAGTGCTCAGCAGCAGGCCCGTCCTGAGTGCTCAGCTCTCCCACTTCTTTGCTCCCTGGGAAGCCCACGGCCTGACCCCAGCGTAGACTTCTCAGGAGAAATCTGATCTCTTTTTGATCTTTCCCCTGCTCTTCCAGGCACTGGCCCCTCTGACATCCTAGTGAGTTGGATGATAAATAGGCAGGGATAGAGAAGTCACTAGGAAGGGATTCCGGGGAGTTGGGGCAGCGGCTGCCGGAGCCCCCCGACATTGGCCACTGAGGCCCTTCAGTCCACACACTGTCCTCAGCCAGCTTCAAGATCTGCAGAATCTTCTGGAGTTGGTGAAGCTGCCTCAGGACGAAAAAACAAACATCATCTTAGTTATTTTTCTCCTATGAACCAAACGACTCCAAAAGATACAATTTACCACAAAAACAAATGGGGAATGCCGCCCCCACCCCACACACATTGACTGTTTACACAGAAATGCCCGCTAGTGCCAGTGTGTTTAACACATGAAAGGTGCCCAGTACGCATTGAAGGAAAAGGCAGATGCTGGGCTCTAATGAATTTCTTTCTCCTTTAAATACCATCTGGCAAAATGGCCAGAGTGCCGGCGGCCCGTTTCATCTCGGCTCTCCCATTCGGTCTCACCGCCGTCCCCACAAGGCCTTCGTGTGAACCACGATTGGATGTTTAATTGAAGAGGACATAATCTTCACACACACAGCAAAGATTTGATGAGGCCTTGAGGTTTATTGTAGCCATTAAAATGTTTTAGCTGTTGGCAAAACCCCAGAAAATGTCTAAAACCAAACCAGATGTGATTAGCAAATTTTAAGAAGCATCAGGCCCCAGCTTTCTAGGCAGGCTCCACCCCTTAGAAGAAAATATTCGGAGGGGGCTGGGGAAGTGGCTCAGTGGTAGAGCGCTCGCCTCACATGCATGAGGCCCTGGGTTCCATTCCTCAGCACCACATAAACAAAAAGCCAGAAGTGGCGCTGTGGCTCAAGTGGTAGAGTGCTAGCCATGAGCTGAAGAGCTGAGGGACGGCGCCCAGGCCCAGAGTTCAGGCCTCATGGCCAACAAAAAAAAAAGCAAGAAAGAAAATATTCTGAGTAGTGTTAACCACGCCTTTGCAGTGCAGCCAAGGGTTGATGGTCATGCAGATGTCACCAATAGGAGCAGAATGAACATCTTTCAGAAAGGTGAAAACTTTGAATAACATTTTAATACAAGGGTGTCGCGAGTAGCATTCCTCAAATTTGTGTGGGATTATTATTAGGTGATTACACACGCACACATATAGAATGCCCTCTAGTTTTCACAATTACTCCAAGAAGACGATAGTATTTTGATCTCTCACAAGAAAAGGATGCTGAAGCTCGTGGTGCTCACGCAGCTAAACCAGGGTTTTATAGGTGATGACTTTGCCATGTTTTGAACTAGATACCACTAGGGAATATATTCAGCACGGTGACATATTTTCCTCTGGCCTAGAAGCCTTTAGTTGTATCAGAGATCAAACTGAAAGCTATGTTCACAGCATAGAGCTCTGTGGATAATAGGTAGGTGAGGTAGCTGTGTGTGGGCATACCCCCCAGGAAGGCAAACGTCCCATTCTCAGGTCAGATAAAGATACAGGAATAAACGTACTTGGAGTTGAGGATGGACTGAGGTTATACAGGTGGATGAGCAAATAGACAAATATTCTATGGATTCAGAACTCAGGCTTTGGAGTCTGATATGTGCCACAGTTTGGGGAAGGAATGATCTTGATAACTAGTATAACCAAAAAATACATTTATCTTCCAGGGCTAGAGGAATATCTCAGTGGCATTGCGTGGCATATGTGAGGCCCTGTATTCAGTCCTCAACATCAAAGTAATCAATAAAATACTCATTTATTTTAATGGGACAGTATGGCACCTGCATCATTTCATAGAAAATAATGAATGCGTGGGGCCTTGTTGCACAAGCTGCACAAAGACAGTTAGTAGTAGGGAAGTACGCGGCCTGTGCAGCTGGCCCTGCTGGGGAGGGGCCTAGCAGGCCGTGATGGACGGAGGCTGTAGAGCTCCCGGACTACCTGTGCTCCCTCCTCCCCACCGCGAAGAGCAGAACCACGTACCTACCGCATGCGGTGAACTCACCGCAGACTTTCTTTTCTCTACACCCCTTAATCACACAATGTTTCCCTGGACTGACTGTCGTAAGGAGTGGTTGGGAAATCACCAACAGCAGCGGTAGTTTCTTTCTTAACCTTGATCTTGTTTGCTAGCCAGATACTCTTACCCATCCGTAAGTGTGGGGAGGGAAGTCGAGGCCCCTAAAGATGCCCAAACCCAAGCCTCTAAAGTCTCTGGCTATGCTGCCTTACATAGAAAAGAGAAATTGTGTTGCTGTTGACATAGGAAGGTTATTCTTGGAGGATTACTCAGTGGGACTAATGTAATCACACGAATCTTTAGCATGAAGCTTTGAAAGCCCTTCAGCTTTCCCTGTTTGGGATTTAACTACAGAAGAACGGTGAAGGAACTATAATGTTACTGGCTTCGAAGGTGGAAGAAGTGGGAAATGAGCCAGGGAGAGGGGCAAGCTTGCACGACTAGAAAAGGCAGACCAGATCCTGCCTGCCCTGCACACAGGAAGGAACACGGCCCCGTCAACACTGGGCCCTTAGCCCAGCAGCTCCGTGTTAGTTTGACTTCTAGCAAACAGACCTGCAAGATACATTTGTGTTGTTTTAAGCCACTTACATCCCATTCATTTGTTATCCTAGTAATAGGAAACTAACACCCTGTGGAACAAATCTGACTGTGCTTTTACACCAAGCCCACCCTCAGCACGCACATGTGGGTACACCACTCAGCCTTCCTTGCAAAGGTAGAGGAGAGTTCCCCGGTAGTGGCACTCACCAATATCAAGTGAAGTGAAAATTGGTATGCCAGAGACAAGCCTGTGAGCAGGTAAGCCTGGAAGTGCTGGCGGATCA